TGTTTAGGTGATACGAACAGAACCGTCGTTGACGATATATTGGGAACTAACAAACGAGGGTCAGGAGGTAGCCGCAAGCGGCAGCCACGAATATAATATCTGGAAGGCGATTCCGCCGAAAACAGGGATCCTACAGAAGGAGTTGATGGTTGCAGTGAGCGTTGCGAAGTTCCTCGTTTCTATGCTATAACTCTCTAGGCAACGGTTCCAAACGCTAAGGTTGGCTTCGGTAAAGCGATCAGTGCCGGTTGGATCACGATCCAAAAGAATGACAAACAAGTGTTAGTGTTCAGAAAAGTAAATATAACATTAACGACTATTTCTTTGCGCTCTTCGGTTAGCGTTTACGTATTATGATGACCATACTTAACCACCTGAGGAGAGTCCTCCAAGAATTTTCCAGAACTGAGTGTCTGTGCAGCGATTGATGTTAAAAACGCCGTAGTTTAAACTTTTGGCGTTTATGGTGATCCATTTACTCAATTCTTTAGTGCTCGCTTTGCCCAGACTTCTTTTTGACCTACCGTTTTATTACAGATCGAATATGTTTAGACAGTATTTGCCTTCTAAGGAATGAGTAAGGTGAAAATACTACTGTGATATCACAGATTTTGCCTTGGTAAAGGTTGGCAGCTTCAGATGAAACTTTAGTCCTGCACTAAACAGTTCCTTTTTCCATGTGTGCTATGCTACTAATAAAGTATTCAACCTACTCATGAAGTGTAAGTACCTCAGTGTCAAGTACCTACGTACTGAAATTGTAAAGAAAGTCCTACAACAACAGAATATTCTCAATGATGTCTCTCAATTGCAGGAAAAGACGTTTCATTTCAAGGTGTAGTAGCAATGAGATTCAAAGTCGAAAGTCTGTACACGAATCTTGTCTAAGACGGAATCCTAATAGTCCTGATGACATTCAGACATTAAAGCATTGTTTGGGTAGTTCATGTTTCAGTAAAGTTATGTAATAGGAGGAGGAAGAGGGTTATCCATAAGACTTCACCTCGTGATCGAACTGGGCAGCTTTACACAACAACATACACATAACCACAGACAGCCATTTTTACCGTGAACAAGATCAGTAAAGTATTGAAATGAAATTTTCTTAGTCATGTATCACCTGATGGACAGGCTGTTTACAATGTGTTTCATCGTTTTTAAAAACGATAATCGTAAGAATAATACTGCCTTCCAAACGAAATAATTATCCTGACAAGTATGTCTCCACCTGGGTTCATTGTTGAGTTCCATTCTGGTTTTGGTAGGGAAAATCTCTCTACCTAACGGTCCGTAGGTAGTAGGTGGTTTCTTGTTATCAGTTGTTTATTGCACACTTTTTGATTTTCAGGTTGAATGCGTAAAGGATGTTGTGCAAAAGAATCTCCAGTTAATCGAGCATGGGGCCGAAATCGATGATGCGGTTAAAATTGAACTGCAAAAAAGAAAACTGCTTGTTGAAAAGTAATCAGTTCTATTTTTGCTAATTCAGCGGCATATCTGATGATGTATTTGCAATCGAACAGTGCAATTATAACTAAGTACTACCTTTCGTTCTGTAAATCCGCTATTTGACGTTATATGTCAACTATGTTGGTCCTGTGCCAAGACGTTTCTCCCGTGCCAAAAGGTTTTACAGCGCGTGTGTTATTATTAAAGTCTTAGCACTTGTGAATTGTCGGTCTTTCTTCACTCTCCTGGGCCCTTTTCGCGCTCTTCTTTTCATGAAGCTGATGGTGCGCGCTGATCTGCGTTTCTGTCGTCGGTCAAAAGTGCTGTATTTGTTTAAAGGCAGTCTACAGCAATGTAGATGTCAAATGTAGCGTGTAGTTCCCTCTTTCCTTCCTCATCTGTCATCTTCGGAAAGAGGAAGTGCAAGTGCCCGACTGGGACTTGAACGCAGGACCTATCGGTTCTGAATTCGACGCTCTACCAACTGGACATTTGCAGTTGAAGCAATGGATGATACATGTTTTGCTTACGAAAGGGAATTCATGAACAAGACAGATTGCCCTCGAGCGTAATGGAACCCTGCACTTCTGGATTTCGAAACAGATCGTTTATATACGGTGCCAACACACCAACGTCATTCATGAATCAAGCTACAGTGTCAAGTACTTACATGCACAGTTCTACTACCTAACGAGTACTGGTTCATTTCACATCATTTTTCACGAAAGAGATACTACCATATAAAATAGAATCGATGCGAGATGAATCTAATATATCACAGGCCAATTTAATAATAATTGAAAAATTGGGCTTAATTTTATATGAAATTTATTATGAAAATCAAGATTCTTGCATCGATAATGCTCTTTGAGAATATGATTTAAAAAGCGATTGAATTCCGTTTTTGCCTTTTTATACGTAATCACTGGTAAACTGCATTTATTCATATTCACTTTTTATGTAATTCTACTTTAGATCTATCAAAGAGTTTTACGTTCACCGAGGGCCAGCGTTTACAACCTCGATATTCAAAGCTGAAACCGAGCTGACGGCAGATCTTCTTGCGAAGTACGATTTGCATCACAAATGCGTTTCTAACGTCTTTGCTGCTTCTTTCAGTGATGAATGGAAAAACCGCATTTTCAAAAAATATAATTTTAACGCTTTGGGTCAACCGCTTACCGGCGGCCATTTGCATCCATTGCTGAAGGTTCGTTCGGAGTACCGGCAGGTTTTTCTCGAAATGGGGTAAGCAAAGGATTTCTTGACCCTGAATGATAACTTTTAATGATCTTCATGCAACTTTTTTCGTTAAGTGCTTGCTGAGGCACCTCGACAGACGAGTCCATGATTTTAACCTTTTGTCAACCTATGATTTATTTGTTCTGTAAGCTACGCAGATTTAGGTTCACGGAGATGCCAACGAATAACTACGTGGAAAATTCTTTCTGGAACTTTGACGCATTATTCCAGCCGCAGCAACATCCTGCTCGTGATATTCAAGACACCTTTTTTGTATCTGGTATGACTTGGCAGTATTCGATAATAGTTTTCTTTCGTTTCGAACGTTGGCTCTAGATCCGCCTAATTCGTTTACGTTCCCGCCCGCGTATTTAGAGGCCGTCAAGACTGTACATTCCGTGGGCGCTTTCGGATCGAAGGGGTTCGTTCGTTATGTTGCGTTATCTGTAGTCATATGCTAACTTGTTCGTAGTAAAGCAGTTTAATGTGGCCACGATGACACACCTTCACGTGTAGATAATATTCGACGTTCTTCCACTAATAGCCTTCCATATACGATTTTTCACCCACTGAGCGATTGTGTTCTTATTTTTTATGGGGTAG